TGGACCTGACCTCTGCTGACTTCTCCTGCTCTGACCCCTGGCTAAGTTTGACCTCTTTTTTGGATATCCTTACCTGATCCGAACTACTGGTACCGACCCCGGCGAGTGACCTGACTATTCTTCTGCCTGCTACCTTGTACTACGCTGACCCCTGTGTTACCTACCTGGCCCGTTTGACCACACTCATCCATCCATCCATCACGGATCCAGCCCTCCCTGCTTCCGCCTTCTGCCTCTTCATGTCAGGCTCTCCACCTGCACAGACCCCGGCGGATTCCTCTACTGCAGACGGGTGTACTCAGGGGCCGCGACCTGGTTCCAGTCTGCTCCAAGTCCATCCCCACCATCAGAGGCCCTGGTGAACAAGCAGGCTGGGGCTTAGACTCCACGCTCTGGGGAATCCTGTCCTGTGGGCTGCTAGAGGTACCACCAGGCGGTTGCTAACAAGTTGCTGCCATCTCAGGTCGGAGGCATTGGGTTAATTTCTGAAAGCAGGCCTACTAACATTGATTGAACTTCTGCTATATGTGTTACTGCTTTGCTAAGAGTTGCTAAGAGTAATTATTGCCATTCCAAGTATCAATACCAGTTTGTATTGTTCAACCAAGTTTTCATTGGAGTTTATTATAAACCTCATATCAACTCTCTCTAATCTGTGTGTGAGTTTACTTTCTGGTGTTAACCTCCCTGGCGGTATTCCCGAGTGTAGCTCGGGGTAACATTTCAGTACCAAAAGCGGTAACCCCGAGCTACACTCGGGAATACCATGCGGCACTGCTCCGGCATGTGTTCTTCACTTACCTTACCCTGCGCTCCTACGATGTGTCCCCTGCAGCGTCCCCGGCCATCTCCTCCGGCCGATGCCGGCATCCGGCTTCTGTGTCCTGTCCCTGTGACGTTGGGACGTACGGGCGGGCGCGCCGCCGCCGGCGGCGGGAAATTTAAAAATTTTAAAAAATGTCATTTTTTTTTTTTTTTTCATTTTACACAGTAAAACATTGCTGTTTCAACCTATTTCACATACATATTGTCCCTAGTGCTTTGTCCTGCGCCCTGCCTGCATTTTGTCTGTTCTTTCTGCCTGGAAACTGAGAAACGTCCATGGCGTCCAAAAAGTGTCCCTTTAGGTCAAAAGCGGTTTAGATCAGCTAGAGAACAGCGATAGTAAATCAGAACCACTTACAGAATTGAGTGATAATGATTCGTGGGGGAAATTTGTCATCAGAAACTGAAAACGATTTTGCGACTGAGCTCAGCAATGTGCGAACTTGGCGCTCTATTTCACATTTCAGTGTTTTTGGTTTGATTATATTATTGAATTAAATTTTTTATTATTTTTATATTATTTTTATGATTATTTATTAAATTATAATTTATGATTTCGTGTTTCAAATTTTATCATACCCAGGATGTTTACTAGACTCTTGTTCGGACAGATTTCAGTGAGTTTTTCCTAAAAATTACAGCCTACAATAAAAAAAATACATATTTCCATGCAAAAAAATGGTACCGCTTTCAGCACCAAAAATCTGAAATAATCATACCGCCAGGGAGGTTAATTTACTCTGGTCAAAGGAACCCTGTGGTGTCAGCAGGATTTTGAGCTTTCAGAGGGGTCCAGAATGACAGGGAGCCTGAAAATAACTTAGCGACTCCTAAGGGGGTAGCGCTACAAAAAAAACAAACTTTTATTTAAACATCAAAATGATTTGATTGGTTTAAAAACCCTTATACATGTATAAGTGGGAATGACATAGACAGCGGCCTGGTGCACTTGGTACACTGATCTGTCATCCACTGTGTCTGGTGGACACAGCAGGTGACAGATCACACCTCAGCGAGACCTGTGGGGCAAGCTCAAGACGTAGTCCTGGGAGGAAGTCATATCCACCAAGGATAGCAGCGCACCCGCTCAACCGTCGTTTGTCTATAGGCCGGCCGGGAATAATAGGCATGGTGAGTTTTTGAACTTGAAATGGGTCGCTCTCAGGAGCTCAGTGAATTCAAGCGTAGTACCATGATAGGTTGCCACCTGTGCAATAAGTCCACTTATGAAATTTCCTTGCTGCTAAATATTCCACGGTCAAATGTTAGTGGTATTAAAACAAAGCGGAAGCAACTGGGAACAATAGCAACTCAGCCACGAAGTGGGGTCAGTGCATGCTGAAGCCCACAGTGATCAGAAGTTGACAACTGTCTGCAGAGTCAATAGCTAAAGACCTCCAAACAGTGCTTAGAGAACGTCATGTAATGGGTTTCCATGGCCAAGCAGCTGCATCCAAGTCTTACATCACCAAGTGCAATGCAAAGCGGCAGATGCAGAGGTGTAAAGCACGCCACTACTGGACTCTAGAGCAGTGGAGACGTGTTCTCTGGAGTGACGGATCACGCTTCTCTGTCTGGCAATCTGATAGATGTGTCTGGGTTTGGCGGTTGCCAGGAGAACAGTACTTGCCTGACTGCATTGTGCCAAGTGTAAAGTTTGGTGGAAGGGGATTATGGTATGGGTTTTTTTTTCAGGGGTTGGGCTTGGCCCCTTAGTTTCAGTGAAGGGAACTCTTAAGGCATCAGCATACCAAGACATTTTGGACAATTTCATGCTCCCAAATTTGTGGAAACAGTTTGGGGATGGCCCCTTCCTGTTCCAACATGACTTCACACCAGTGCACAAAGCAAGGTCCATAAAGACATGGATGAGCGAGTTTAGGGTGGAGGAACTTGACTGGCCTGCACAGAGTCCTGACCTCAACCCGAAAGAACACCTTTGGGATGATTTAGAGAGGAGACTGCGAGCCATGCCTTCTCGTCTGACATCAGTGCCTGACCTCACAAATGCACTTCTGGAAGAATGGTCAAACATTCCCATAGACACACTCCTAAACCTTGTGGACAGCCTCCCCAGAAGAGTTGAGGCTGTTATAGCTCACCCCCTCTTTCTCAACCCCCCACTCTCTCACTCTCCTTCTCTCTTACTTTTTCTCTTTTACTCCCCTCCAACTCCATCTCACCCCCCCTCTCTCTCACTCTTTTTGGGCGGGGGACACCATGATTTACCCCCCAGGTGACACCAAACCTAGTGAAGTCACTGGGTACAATCTGTTAATAGAATCAAGGAAAAGTGTAGAACTCCTACCCTTCAAGAACTTTCCTCATATGCTGGAACAAGGTGCTCGCTTGGAGCCTGTCTTTCCTCTACACATACTAAGAATAATAAAAGAAAAAAAAAAAAGCCACACACCAATGATGTCTTCACATGCAAAATTTTGATCAGCCGACAAGCTTCAGCATACAGTCCAGCCCCCCAGGACTACCCCTCTGACATGTTTCACCCAATTCTTTTGGATTATTCTATCCCATCTGTATTGCTTAACTTCAATGGGGAAAAATGAAGTCACCAGTTTGGCTGTGCTGCCTGGCAGAGATGGCTGAATCACAAGACTAGCTGGATAGAATGACAATGTAAATCATTTGGTAGCTGACTCAGCTCACTATGGATTTAGTTCACTCTTTGAAGTGCAGTTTCAATAGCTAGGTCACTACCATTTACAGGTATATCAGGTTATGTGGTCCTTTGACCTAAGTACACTGGTTCATCACTAATCTCTCTCTGTATAAATAAAATATTGCTCATTCTGTATTTGAGTTTTGGCTTGTACATTTGCTTGCATCAAAACTGCTTTTTTTCTTTGACAAGTTATCAATGCAAAATTGGCTTGATGCAGCTTAGATGAAGGTCATAAGCAAAGTAGCAGGTCAGAAGTAGTTGTGCAACTTAGAATGATCTTTGAAACATCTTAAAGCAGAGCTCCACCCAAAAGGGGCAGTTCTGCTTTAAGTATTGGTTCCCTCCCCGCTTGAGGAATTGACACCCGATTTTGACAGGTACCCGCTCCCACTTCTGCTGCGATCACATAGGTGATCAGAAGTGGAAGTTGTCCCCCCCCATAGTCTTTTGGAACACATGATAGGCCCCAGAAGGTTACAGGACCATTCACAAGGCGCTGGCTACTAGCGCATGCGTAGTGGGCGCCTGGCTGTGATGCCACAAGCTGTCACAGCTGGGTGCCCACACTTAAGATGCCAGCTCCGGGGAGTGAGGACGGCTGGTGAAACCGACTGCAGTGAGGACACTGCGGGATCGAGGGACAAGTTAATGGCTGTTTTTTTAAAAGTCAGCAGCTACAGTTTTTGTAGCTGCTGACTTTTATTTTTTTTAGCTTTGATTGGAGCTCCTCTTTAAACTGTTTTCAAGTGGAGAGGGTATAAGAGAAAGACATGGAAGCAAAAAAAAAAATCGAGTAAAAGTGTTTTCTAGTTTGCTTTGCAGTAACTCATATCCTTACGAAGCAAAATACAAAGCCTGGCTAATTTGGAATTTGTTATACATCACTGTGCATTCCTTATTTTAAAAATTAATTGAAGAAAATTAAATCTTTTTGAGTTATATTAGCTGTCCATTAACATACTTGTAAAGTTAAGCTGTTGGTTCTTGCAAAGGAAGCAGATTTTGTCTTTAAGCAAAGTAATTTTCCATGCACTCCAAGGGACTATTAGCAGTGTGTAGTACATTTCTCTTTAGCTTCACCTTGCAACAATTTTTTAAACTTCTAGCTTTATGTCTCTAGTATATTGCTACTAATGTACTATTCATTGCTTCAAGTACCTTTGAGGAAACATTTATTTTCTCTGCTTGTTTTTCTGTTGAAGCATATGTTGAAGTAAAAAAAAAAACATTTTTCATACATCTCTGAAATGCATGCATATTTCCCCATGTTTTTTAATCGCTAAATTGATATTAAGGCCTACACATAGTCAAAAGTTTTTGAGTTCTTTGGGTTTTTTTTTTTACAAATCAGCACAATATGCATTACTTGCAGTCAATGAGAAGTGTCCATTGTGCTGCTGGCTGAGGCTTTAGTTGAAATCCTTTGCCCTCTGACCCCATCCTACCCCCGCAGTTGTAATCTTCTGGTGCAGCTGGGCTTAACATGAGCCAAGGTCAGGGGCAGACTGACCGTTTGGAAACTCGGGCACTGCTCGAGGGCCCGGGGTCAGTAGGGGGCCCCATGAGATGCCCCTGGTACCTTTTTCATAGGCTTTTTTGAGTTTGAGCAAGGACACAGGGGCCCCATGATCCCCTATTGCCCAGGGGCCCCATGAGTTGTCAGTTCACCCCTGGCCAAGGTATTTGTCATATGCACTCTTACAGAGTGCTGACTATGACTACCCTTTCCACCCACCTCCTTCAGTCATAAAAGCTGTACTACAGCTTCCATGAATAAAACATGATCTACAAATGGAGGACAGGCGGATGAATGAAAGGTCCATTTTCTACATTCATAGATTTTGTTACATTCATAGAAGCTATAGTACAGTTTCTATGAATGGAGGAGGTGGTTGGAAAGTTGGCACACTTGACGAGTGCATATGACAGATCTCTCAGCTCATATTAACCCCCGTGGCACCAGAACTGTAGGTGTAGAAGATGGGAATAAGAGGACAAGCAAATTCAACTAAAACATCAGGCAGCAGCAAAAGGGACATTTCTGACTGACTGTAGCACCCCTTGTGACGATTTTCCCTAAGAAAACTTTCTGACTAAACTTGGGCTATAATGCAGAACCGCGCAGAAAAAATTATTCACGTTTTCTTGCTGCTGATTTCCTACCTTCACTGAATATGCCATCCATCTTCTGGTTCACTCAGTAGTTGCTATGAAATAACCTATTCATTTTCAAATCAAACTGTTAATTCTCTTTAGTTTCCTGTTTGTAGGACCAGTGGCTGATATGCCTCCTATTCCCCCAGCCACTGGTCTTGGTACATCCCTTCTGTAGTTCTTTCTCATGTACAGGCTTAGTGTACCCACCCACATTCACTACAATTCCCTGTGTTGATGGGAACTGTAGTTTCCTTTTACTGCAGAGAGTGAGGAGAGGATATGATGTAATTCCTGCTGTTACACCCCCTCCTTGGCAAAGTAGATGCTGTTATCTTTTGAATTACAGAGATGAGATTCCTATCCCGGAGTACTTCTTTAGCACTTTCAGCAGCAAATTTAATCACTTACTGAGTATGCAGCTTCTTCATCTTTTAATCTTTGCCTCCTGAAGCTGGTGCCATGACTGCTGCCCCATGTTTCCTGTTTCAGGGTGGCTCCTTTCTTTTTCCATCTTCACAGTTCTCATCCCTGTATGAAAGTGTGGCTCCATAGGATGCTGCAGGAGAAAGGAGCCACCCTGAACAGGAAACCTGGGGCAGAAATTATAGAACCAGCTTCAACGGGTACATAGGTAAAGATTACAATATGAAGAAGTTGCCTAATCAGTGATCAAATTAGCTGCTGAAAGTGCTTAATAAACTGAAGGATAATTAGCACTTCAGCTGAACAAGATGAAGATAGAAGATGAATGGTTACCATGTAATTCTGTCTGTCCAGTTTGATAAATTACCCTCAATATATTTTTGACTGAACTCCAAGGCATGTGATGTCAACCCTGCTTACCTAATTTCTGATGCATTGCAAAGAACATAGACCTCTACTCATCTCCTAAACCCTCTTGTTCACAGACAGTAAAGAAACTTGTCAACTCACAAGTTCTCTGATAAAACCAACAGGTATTTTTGAATTTATAAAATGAATATAACACCATGTTGAGTGGCACATTTAGTGACCAAATAGGAGCAAATAAGAGAAACTCATTATTTGGGTTTGTATACACTTTAAGGTAAATAACACTGGACTCCATTCACAAAGTGGTATCTACTGCTTTAAGATCCATGGTAAAATACCTCTTAGCGGCTTTCAAAAATGTTTTTGCAATTCACTATAAAACGCTTCCAAAATACCGCATGTGGTATTGCATCACAATTTGCAGTATTTATCTCTTTAAACTGTTCGGTAAGTTATCACATGTCATCATATCCACTGGGATGGATAGAGTAGAGAGGGATTAGATCACCTATCAGTTTTTATTTCTGTCTATGCCCCGTTAGAGAGATTCACTCTCTATTTCTACTGTTATCCCGTATCATTGAAAGTGAAAGGGATGGAAAATCCCACATTTTGGGTTAACACTGGAACGGTCAGGGAATGGGAAGATCGCTGCGGCGATCGAATCCGCACATGCGTAGAGTCCTGACAAAACGTACAGGCAGGCGGGCACTAGGACCCAGGCGCGCCTGTCACCAATGACTGTGCCGGGCAAGCATTAGGACCCAGGAGCGCCTGTCAGGAGTCGGGCGGGCTATTTAAACCCAGCTCTTGCAATGCTCAAGTGCCGTATGGTCTTTCCTGTGTTCCTGTGAGTTTACTTTGCTGCTGACCCTGCCTGATCCTGATCTGCTGACTTCTCCTGCTCTGACCCCTGGCTTGCCTGACCATTCTCCTGCCTGCTCCCGCACTTTTGATCTCCTGTTGCCAAACCCGGACCGTGACCCGTTTATTCTTCTGCCTGCTGTTTTGTACCGACCTGCTCCGCTGTTACCTACCTGGCCTGTCTGAGCTCGCTTACTCTACCTCCTCACATCAGACTCTCACCTGCTGCGTACCACCGACAGGTGCCTCTACCACAGCTGGTTGCACCCAGGGGTCACGACCTGGTTTCGGCTTGCTCCAAGTCCATCCCCACCATCAGGGGCTCTGGTGAACAAGCAGGTTGGAACTTAGATTCTGCACCCTGGGGAATTCTGGTCTGTGGAACGCTAGAGGCTACCACCGGCTGGTCCCTAACAGGAACACTAACAGAAGGGAATCTCCCAAATGGGAAACAGATGGCAAAAAAAACTGATGGGGTTCTAAACCTCTACTACTCTATCCAAAATAAAAAAAAAAAAGTTTTGCCATTAGTTACACTTTAAAGTCAATTTTGCTGTGATATTTGGTGAATTAATTGCTATATATTTAAACATGTCTGTTTTGTTTTGCTAGAGAATTGGCAATGGGGGGATTTACTAAAAGTGGAGCTCAGAGAATCTGGTGCAGCTGTTCATATTAACCAATCAGTTTCTAAATTCAACTCGTTCAATAACGTCTTGACAATAACACCTAGAGCTGAATGGATACTAGACAGAACTGCGGCAGATTCTCTGTGCTCCAGTTTCAGTAAATCTCCCCCATCCCCCCTTGTCATCCTCTGATGATCTTCAAAGGCTCACTCTGATATCCATCTGCCAAACTTTCAAACTGATGACACCCCCCTCCTAACAGCTCACGTTCCACACCTTTGTAAGAATAAAATAATAATTGTCTGTTCTTAATACGATTCTGTCTTGGAAAATGTTTTTCCAAAGATAATTGTGAAAAATTAAAATATTCCCACTACATATGACATATATTCTAACAAGGGATTAGGCCATTGTGATATGCAAGTACATTGTATTATGTTTAGAGAGATTGGGAGTTTTTTTTGCAGTAAATAATGTATATGCTTGTATATACACAAAAAAAAGTTTGTAAAAGTCTGATGAAATGACATGAGAAAATAAATCTATTTCACTAAATGTAACATTTCTGTATTTTATCCATATTTTGGCTTGTATGCACTAATATTGTGAGACTACTGATCCAAAAAGGTAGAGATTACTCCAAACTGGCTATTATATTTTTACATTCCTTCAATATTGCATGCCTGGACCACTACTTATTTAACCACTTGCCCTCCTGAGGATTTACTGCCCCCCCCCCCCCCTTTCCTGACCAGGCCAGTTTCTTTGCATTACGGCGCTGTGTTACTTTGACTGATAATTGCGCGGTCATGCAACGCTGCAGCCAAATGAAATTTACATCCCTTTTTTCCGTGGTATTTGGCCGCCTGTGCATTAATTTTTTGGGCTATAGAAAAAAAAAAAAAGAGACAATTTTGAGAAAAAAAAAACAATATTTTTGACTTTTTGCTATTAAACATGTCCAGTAAAAAAAATTAAAAAAATAATATTTTGTCATAAATTTGTGCCAAAATGTATTCTGCTACATCCACTTGGTCCCGGGCCATAATCTCGGCCAACAGTTCCTCTCTGGTCTTGGAGCCAGCGATTCCTCCCCGAGCGACAAGCAGGCTTTGGAGAGCTGGCTTCCGGAGGTCCCGTACATCCATCTGGCCAAGCAGGGACGTCTCCGTGAAAAAGATGGGGTCCTGGTTGGTGGTTTGGACTTTCTCCGCAATGAGGAAAGATCCCACCGCTGCCAACCAGTTGTGGTGGAACTGTTCCACCTGGGCTTCCTTGTGCGTCTCAAGCAATGGTCCCCTTTTCCGGCAAGTCTGCCAAGGGGGGTATTAGAGCTCAAAGACAATCCTTCCCCGATATCCCAAACCACGAGTTAGAACTTCGTGTAGGGTGAATGAATGAATGCTTTATTGAACACAGTTCAGTTTATACAGCACATCCTGGCAGTAATCCGTGCCCCCTTCACCCCCACCAGAAAGTCTGGCACTTGGTTTTCCCCACCCATAACAAAACTCTACAGCACAACACAACAGCAAAATATAAAATCTAGAGAAGTGAAAGACTACAAGTTCACATTACCCTAAACACACAGTGTAGAATGCAGAATGTAGAAAAACAGCTGATAAACATATACAGCTTTAAAAAGGGTAGAATGGGAAGACAACTTAACAAGGGGATAAAACTGGAACAGAAAGGGCAAAAATGTTATCACAAAGGGACGGTTCGTCACAATGTCTTTGCTAAAACAAAATCCCAAAACGTGTAAATGAATTTACATGAAAGTTATAGCGTTTACAAATGGCGGTTTATATACTGAGATTTTTTTATTTTTCTAGTAATGATGGCGATCAGCGACTTATAGCAGGACTGCGGTGGACATTCTGACACTGGGAGGGAACTGATTTGGTGTCACTGACATCCCCAGTGACACCACTACAGTAATCAGTGCTAAAAAAAAAGCACTGACACTGTACTAATGGCACTGGGCAGCAATGGGTTAGCATGAGGGGCGATCAAATGGTTAAACTGTGTGCAGGGAGTGTTTTACTAGGGTGCTCAGAGGCGTATTCACCATGAGGCAAACAGGGCGTTTGCCTAGGGCGGCAATTTTTAGGGGGTGGCCCCCCTCCCCCCAAAGAAGGGATCCTTTGAGCAGTGTCGGACAGCAGGAAGATCAATGTGGGGGAGGGCAGTTGCAGAGCGACGATCGTGCACCTCTCACTCCAGCAGCTGACAAGCCAGGACCAGGGGAATACCTGAAGCACGGAGAGAAGCGATGAAAGAACCCGGAAGAGGTGAGCTGTGTTGTCTTCTGTGGGCTCTCCCTCCTGTCATCCATCCAGCAGATTACACTGACACTGATCACTGACAGATCGTATGGGACTGCACACACCTCCCGCCTTCCTGCTGCAGGGAGATCAGCAGCCCTTGGAGAGGGGGGGAGGGGTGTGTGTGTGTGGTCCCATAGGATCTGAGGAAGAGGGGGCGGAGAGAAAGAAAGGGAAGAGAGAGGGGGGGAGAGAGAGGGGGGGAGAGAAAAAAAAAGAGGAAGAGAGAAAGAAAGAGAGAGAGGGAGAAAGAGGGAGGGAGAGAAAAAGAGAAGGGGGGAGAAGGAGAGAGAGAGAGGGAGAGAGAGAGGGGGGAGAAAGAGGGAGAGAGAGAGGGTGGAGAAGAGAGAGAGGGGGAGAAAGAGGGAGAGATAGAGAGAGGGGGAAGAAAGAGGGAGAGATAGAACAGAAAGAAAGGGAGAGAGAATCATATATACATACACACACTTATTGAACTCTCTCGCTCTCTCATTGGGGAGGGCGCAAAATGTTTGTGTTGCCTAGGGCAGCACAAAATCTAAATACACTACTGCTGTAGTCCATGTCATAGCAGCCTTTCTCAATCTTTTCAACACAGAGGAACCCTTGAAAAAATGATCTGTTCCCAGTGAACCCCTGCTAAAAATACTATATCTACAACTCATGATACATCAGTGTGATGGTCAGTGGGAAGAATGCTCCTTACACTTATGGTCATTGGGAAGAATTTCCCCCAGGGCCGGATCTAGCCTACCTAATCTGGGGGTGCAGTAAACAAAAGTAAGGGGGCATAATGCCAACGTTGTGTGAGTCACTGACAGTCTGTCACCCTGTATCATGACCTGGGAAACACTAGTATGTATTAGGCTGTCATTAAGTTAGAATGATCAAACAGACCCTGTGCCCCCTTATATCAGATGTCCCTATCAGGAGTCCTCATCAGAGCCCCTTTATATCGGGTTGCACATCAGATTGCCCCCTTTTCAGAGGAGCAGCAGCATTTTTCAGGGGGGCAGCACTGTCCCCCGAAAGAAGGAAAGAAAGAAGGGACATACGCAGCACAGGGACCAGGTGGGATCTGAGAGAGGCTGCAGGCTGCTTGATGGTGTATGCAGAGCCTGACTCTTGTTCCCGGGGATTTCTGGAGCTGTGAAGGTGAGTGTCTTATCTCTGGTTGGGGTGGGGGGGGTTGTTAGTGTATGGGGGTCGGTGGTAGTGGAAGGCTCTCTCGGGTGGGGGACTGGGGTGTTGTTGGTCAATGGGGGGAGCCAATTTTTGTGTTGCCTAGGGCGGCACAAAACCTAAATACACCACTGAGGGGGCTGTGTCTGTGTGCTTCACTGTAATCACACTGCTTTGGATGGCTGTGCTGTGCACAGCCATCCAGAGCAGTGTGCCCGAGCTGACAGGGAGGAGAACTGTTAGTAAACAAAACAGTTCTCCTCCCCGTCGGAGATCTTCGGAAATCACAGGGCGCCGGCGAGTAATTAGCGGCTGGGACCTGGTGATTGACAGCCGTGGCCACGAATGGCGGCGTGGGTACGGTGCGCACAGCTCAGGCGCCCCCTACACGTAAATGCAAAATCGTGTATATATATATGTGGTATTGTGCACCCGTGCCGCCCTGTAGCAGTATTTCTGCTATAGGGCGGTCGGGAAGCGGTTAACACATGTATTTATTTGTCTATTTCCTTTAGTGAATTGACTCTAACGCCCATTTTATGCGGAATTTACCTAACAGGTTTGGTTTTTAAGGTAAATACCACATAAAGGGATAGTAAATTCAGCATCACATGCAATATTTGGGAAAACTGTTTCAGATCACCTAAATACCGAATGCGATCCGAATTATTGAATAGAGCCCACTGTAAGTATATTTATAAAGCAGTGAATGTGACTTCCACCAACATTCTCTGGTGGAGATTACTGTCTTTTAAAACACACAGAGGTTGATTTACTAAAGGTAAATAGACTGTGCACTTTGCAGATGCTGTTCCACCCTGCAAGGGAATTTGATTCAGAGCTTCGTAAATTAAGCTTTGCAGACTTCCATCATCCAATCATACGCAAGCAAATATGCAGTTTTTTTAAATTTCCTGTGCATGTGATTGGGTATTCTTTGCAATATGAAGTTTTACCTCATTTACTAAGCTCTGGAGCAAATGCCCTTTGCAGAATGCAACTGCATTTGAAATGTACACAGTCTATCTGCTCTGTGCTGTGGAAGCATCCAGTTCCTACAAGAATAGCATTGTGGTTCCAGTGAATACATTATAGTGAGCAGAACCTTACCAGATCTATTACAAGAACATCCCAAAAAGTTAAATGTACTAACTCCAAAAAATACAGAGACTCCAGCCTATTGGTGACACTCAGAGACCACCTCATTACTCTACTATCAGGCCACCATGTTCATGACCACATACGCATGCTTGAACTAGTGATGCTCCTTTTTGCTCCAGCCACCCCTCTACCCCCCTTCCTTCTTTTATTTCTCCTTACATAGTTTTGTTTTTCTTCCTTTTCTCTCTACCTCCTTTTTCACACGTATTGACCTTGCCCTCCTTAACCCTTTTTAACTCCACTCTATCCCACCTACACACTCTCTCGTCTCTGGTTCCGGGAAAGAAATTCTCTCTATATATGGCCAGCCTAACGTCCCTGATCCATCCAACATAAAGAAAATAAGCAGCAAGAGTAGTTAATATTGGGGGACATCAATCCACTACTAAGTCTACAATTTCCAATTGTTTTAAAGTAGACTGTACTAGATTTGGTAATCTGAACCATTGTAACATGCATTGCTTTTAGGTCACACTGAGTAAAGAATTGGATTGTATTTTTTTAAACCTGTATTCTTAACTGATACATCAAGTTTCTTGTGGAACCTGTTGCTGTTTTAAATAAAAAATGAAAAAAGGATGTAAAGCAAGTGGCACTGCAACAGCATGAAATAAATGCAAAAATGTGAACAGTTCTATTGTTTATAATGGCATACATCTCATTGCACATTTTGCTCAATTGTATGAGTAAACAAAGCCTAATAGTTTTACAAAAGCTGCTTCATTCATGTTGTATTGTGAAATCACTTAAGTAATTGTGGTGTATTTTACCATCTGACAAATGCTAGAGAAACAGCAAATAGATGCACCTATGTTATCCTCTAACGGAAATGATTTATTTCTTTAATTAAAATTGCAAGGGTAAAGCACACTGTGTTCTACTCATAAAGCAGCACCGTTTGAAATAAAACATATTTTAGGATGCGGTTACAAGCTTTTATTATTTATTGGCCAGATACAAGACCTGTAGTTCAGATCCTTAGTTAATTTCAAATGTAAATTCTAAAATGGCAAATGGAGAGGCATAAATTGTACTAATGAGCACTGTAAGCATCATGTCCTGCTCTCTGCTAGCTTTCAAAATACGTTTTATTGCACATTGTGAAGTGAGTTAGATGCAATTGCTGATAACATTTAAGGCTTGATATCAGCATAATTCTTTTTATAGGTGTAATGAAAACTTTTCAAAACTACTGTACATACTTGGTTAAATAACATTTGTGAAATGTTGCACTATTTTTGATTATATTTGGCAGTTCCTGTGACTTACCAAATACTGCAATTGGCATTTATCATAGAAAAAGGCAGACAATATCACTTTGTCCTCATAGTGGCTGTCCTTCATAAACTGATAAGTTTGTTTTGGTGGTGGGTGTAAGAAAGTATGTCAATATCTTATAACATTTACCTACCCATACTGGAAATCTATACATGAGAGCTCAGATCTGGCCACTGGACCACTAGGTTTATAGTATTGTAACCATTTTGGATTCTCTATTGACACTTATGAAGAATGTATACTTAGCTTTGTGGCCTCATTACCTGGTGGTCCAAGAGATACTCCAAAATTAACATATGATTAAACAGACTGACATCCATGCAGAAATGTATTATTGGGTATTGGTTAAGTAAGGTTTATAAACAGAACCAGTGGCTTGGCTGCCAGAAGTATCTAGAGCATTTGCTTGAAGTCTGTAAAAAGTTCTTAGGGTTACACAAAAGACTGGGTAGTCATGTTGGGAGCAATCGATCAATTAGGAGGACGGTTTTGTGAAGTCTGTGACAGGACATTATGCTTTTTATGTAACAAACAAGCTGGCCTGGTAAGCAGGAATGCTTTTTTTAGTGTCCCAGGGACTGCAACACTGTATATCTGTATATCCACTGTAAGTGGATGTCACTCCACTTCCTTAAATTGAACCTCTCCAAAACCGAGTTTCTTGTCTTCCCCCCAGCCCGGACACCCCCCCCATTGATTTCTCCGTCACATCCAACAACGCTACCATCAAACCCGCCCTGCAGGCCAGAGTACTGGGTGTCATTCTGGACTCCAACCTATCCTTCCAGCCCCAAGTCCAATCTTTAACAAACTCGTGCAGACTCCACCTCCGCAACATCGCCAAAATCCGCACATTCCTAACCCCAGAAACCACTAAACAGCTCATCCACTCCCTCATCATATCACGACTCGACTACTGCAACTCCCTCCTCACTGGCCTGCCTCGCCGCTGGCTATCGCCGCTTCAGTCGATCCTGAATACGGCTGCCAGACTCATTCACCTTTCCAACCGCTCTGTCTCCGCCACCCCCCTCTGCCAATCCCTCCACTGGCTTCCGATTGCGCAACGGATCAAATTCAAAATCCTAACGCTGACGTACAAAGCTGTCCACCATACTGCCCCGTACTACATCTCTGACCTAATATCCAAGTACCGCCCAGCACGCACACTCCGCTCCTCACAAGACCTCCTTCTCTCTAGTTCCCTGGTCTCCTCCTCCCATGTCCGCCTCCAGGACTTCTCCAGGGTGTCACCCATCCTCTGGAACTCCCTGCCCCAACCCATCAGATTATCACCTACTCTCCTCTCCTTTAGGCGCACCCTGAAAACCCATCTCTTCAGGGAAGCCTACCCCACCCCCTGCTAACTTGCCGACCTCCTCCACTCTTCCTACCACTCCATCCCCCACAGCTATCTCCTCATGTGCCACCACCCCCTCCCTCCTAGATTGTAAGCTCGAAAGAGCAGGGCCCTTGATCCCCTCATGTTTTGCATTGTATTGGTATTGTTCTGTCACATGTTCTGTCCCCCTTTGTAATGTACAGCGCTGAGCGAACTATTGGCGCTTTATAAATACTGTATAATAATATAATAATAATAATAATATCAACTGTTACTTCAGTTATTTCTATGTATGAAGAATGGGCAAGCTAAGATCATTATATATACCATATAAAATACTGTATATATCAATGTTTTGTATTTATATTTCCAGCCAACAAGTGGAATTTTTCACACTTACCATACTAACCTTATCTGCTTAAAAAGTCCATTGGTTGGGTTCAAATTTGTACATTGAACCTGAGAAAGACAGAGTGACCCCTTCCCATTATTTTAGATCAGGGGTGGGCAAACTTTTTGACTTGAGGGCCGCAATGGGTTCATATATTGGACCCGGGGGCCGGACCAAGAGTAGATGAATGATGTGTACGTGTCATCCATAGTAAGTATAGTAATATTCCCCCATAGTAAGCATAGTAATTAATCCCCCATATAGTAATTCATCCCCCATAGTAATTCATCCCCCATAGTAATTCATCCCCCATATAGTAATTCATCCCCCATATAGTAATTCATCCCCCATAGTAATTCATCCCCCATATAGTATTCATCCCCCATAGTAATTCATCCCCCATAGTAATTCATCCCCCATATAGTAATTCATCCCCCATATAGTAATTCACCCCCATATAGTAATTCATCCCCCATAGTAATTCATCCCCCATAGTAATTCATCCCCCCCTAATAGTAATTCATCCCCCCTATAGTAATTCATCCCCCTATAGTAATTCATCCCCCCATAGTAATTCATCCCCATAGTAATTCATCCCCCATAGTAATTCATCCCCCCTATAGTAATTCATCCTCCCTATAGTAATTCATCCCCCATATTAATTCATCCCCCATATTAAGTCCCCAAGTCCCCCCTGTGTCAATTCACTTACCTTTGCTCCGCGCGCTCCTCTCGCCGTGTTCCCGCGCCGTTCCGGTGTAGCATGAAAATCTGTCTCCTATGAGGATCTGTCCCCCTCGACGTATCTGCGCATGTGCCAGTTTCAGGCATTAGCAGCCGATCGGCGATCTCCGGCACATGCGCAGATACGTCGCGGGGGACAGATCCTCATAGGAGACAGATTTTCATGCTACACCGGTCTTCAGGGCGGACTGTGAGAGGAGCCTAGTGGGAGCCTAGCTCCGCGGGCCGGATTAAAAGGTCCGCCGGGCCGTATACGGCCCGCGGGCCGTAGTTTGCCCATTGCTGTTTTAGAGGGACATATGCAGTTTCAGTTACAAAGTACAGTTGAGTGATG